TGACAAAGTAGCATGAAGTGACACACAGCAGGCACTGCGTATGTTTTAGTGCACTCTGGCCGTTCAGCTCGCGACTAGCCCTTGTATATGGAGGAGACTCCCCGACATTATGTCTAGTACTTGTTGTGCTTCCGCAAGGCGAATCAAAGATATACAGAATTTCTTGACCTGTGACTGCCCAAACATTCACTGATGACCTTTCTTCTTCCAAGCTCTGGACCTGTCACTGCCCACCGACATCTGGATTGTTGCGCGTCCGCGCCTCAAGGAATAAAGTTTCCAATGCACTCGCATTCAGGTCTTGCGGGTTGCGACTGATATAATGAACAATATTCCTAAAGTAGTTACCACATACAAGAAAAGAGACAAGTTCTCAGCCAGCGACGTCACCGGTGTATCGCATCAACGACCTGGGAAACTATGAAATAAACATTCACTTCGCCAGGGACAGGAAGGACAGTCAAGAGTCAGCGTCACCATCACTCTGTGGTACTCACAACTACATCAAAGATCAACGCGTCGCACATACAACATCTGAGCCAGCAACCTAACCGGTCTACCGAACCAAAGACCTGCGAAAGTATTTCATAAACATCCGCTTTATGTTCGAGGCGTAGCTTCATCAATTCCACATCAAAGATCGAAACGTCGTAGACATAGCCGCGCCTGCGCCAGACCTATGTAACTGCTGGCAAGGTCGCGTGGCTAGGCCAGAGGGTCAGCTTGAACCATCATGCATTACTCCAGGCTACGTATTCTGTTGTGAAACTCAAACAGTGTTCTTCTGATGTCCAAAAAATAAACAACTGAACAACGCATTCACTGCTGACCTTTCGCAGTGCAAGCTTTGAACCTCTCTCACGCCGCCGCGAGCTCGGTAGCGCAGCGTTCACCCCCCAAGGAACTTGCGCAGAACAACGTCCATTCTTCGAGAGGTACTTGCGTCCCACCTCGACTGAAGACAGAGAGGCATGTGACAAAGAACGAGGTTCCTTCCGGTCGATCTTACGAACGACATATATTTCTTCTTTGTGGGATCCCGGACCGAGCTGAGACGTTGCATCCGCCCCCCATAGACCTTCCGCAAAACAACGTCCATTCCCCAAGTGGTCATTGCGTCAGACCTTGTCCAACATGCCAAACCATAACAGAGAACCAGAATACTCCCCATGACTACTGCGAAAAGAAACTTTCATGATATTATAGATCTGAAGCTTATGCGTTGTCTTTGGGATCCTGTGCCTCGCTGAGGCGTTGCGTCCACCCCTCCAAGAACTTCCGCAGAACGACGTCTATTCCCTGAGAGGTAATTGCGTCGGACAACCAGAGCACTCCCCAGCACTAATATCAAAGATCTAAAGCTTAATATCAAAGACCTAAAGCTTATCTATTCCTTCCGGCTCCCACGCCTCGCTGAGGCGTTGTGTCCACCCACCCAAAGAAGTTCCACAGAATGACGTCCCATCCCTGAGCGACAATTGCGTCGGATCTTGCCCACACTGCATAGCAACATGCAACACGAAACCAGAGTACTCCCCACCACTATAGCGAAAAGATACTTGCTGTCAATGATCTCCAGCTTGTCTATTCTCTTTGGGATCCCGGACCTCGCTGAGGCGTTGCGTCCACCCCCCAAAGAAATTCCGCAGAATAACGTCCATTCCCTGAAAGGCAATTGCATCGGACCTCGACCAACATGGAAAACAAATTATACAACAGAATCAGAGGACTGCCCATCACTATTGTCAACAGAAACTTTCATAAGATCAAAGCTTTTGTATTCTCGTTGGGAATCCCCGCCCTCGCTGAGGCGTTGTGACTATCTTCCGCAGAACAACGTTCATTCCCTCAGTCAGAGGCACTGGCGTCGGACCTGGAGCAGAATGCAAAGCAAACCATGACAAAGAACCAGAGTACACCCCATCACCAAAATGAAGACAATCCGCATGGGGAGAACCCATTATATACATAGGATCTTGTTGCGGTTGACGGAATGACATCAATGAAGCATACGTATACATACGTAATCTCCCAAGCTTAATTGGAATGCCTACTCCTGAAGGGCCCACGCAGACTGGTCTAGGCACTGAGCCATCACAGGCACTGAGCCGCTTTCCAGTTACTTGCCTCTACCTCGTAGGAAGTCAGAGTGGAACACGTTTGAACACATACATGTCTATTTCTGTGGTTCTCTCTCTCTCTCTCTCTCTCTCTCTTTCGTTTTCTTTTGTTCATTTGTTCATTGTATTCATTGGTTCTGGTTCTGCAGGTGCTCGAATGACTTCCAGTGAGTCTGCTGAGACAAAAGGAGGAGTACTTCAATCCGATTCCTCAGCAGATCCCCGACCTTGCTGCAGCGTTGCGTCCACCCCGAGGACCTGGCGTGGCGAGTGGAGGCAAGCAAGCGGATCACCGGACGTGGAAGACTTTTGGGTCTAATGCATCAAGTTCGTTTCATGCGTTCGAAGGCATGCTGTTTGATGATGTTCCATACGTGTTTTCTTTTCATTTTCTGCGCTGAGAGACTCTAGGCAACTATAACACAGAACCAGGGTACTCTCCATGACTATTGCGAAAAGATACTTTCACGATGTCAAAGACCTAAAGCTTGTCTATTCTCTTTGGGCTCCCCGACCTCGCTGCGGCGTTGCATCCACCCCCCAAAGTAATTCCGCAGAATAACGTCCATCCCCTGAGAGGCACTTGCGTCGGACCTCGATCAACATGGAAAACAAACCATACGACAGAACCAGCGTATGCCCATCACTATTGCCAACAGAAACTTTCATGACATCAAAGATCTAGAGCTTATCTATTCTCTTTGGGATCCGGACCTCGCAGAGGCGTTGCATCTACCCCCCAAAGTAACTCCGCAGAATAACGTCCATGCCCTGAGAGGTAATTGCATCGGACCTCGAGCAACATCGAAAACAAACTATTCGACAGAACCACAGTACTGCCCATGACTATTGTCAACAGAAACTTTCATAAGATCAAAGACCTACACCTTATCTATTCGCGTTGGGATCCCCGACCTCACTGAGGCGTTGTGTGTATCTTCCGTCGACGAACGTTCATGCCCGGAGCCAAAAGCAATTGCGTCGGACCTGGAGCAGAAGGCAAAGCGAACCACGACCCAGAACCAGAGTACGCCCCATCACCACTATCAAAAGAAACTGTCGCGATATCAAAGATCTACAGCTTATCTGTTCTCGTTGGGATCCCCGACCTTGCTGAGGCGTTCCGCTCGCAAAACTCCGTCCATTTTCTCGGAGGTGATTGCGCCGGATCTTCATGTGATTGCAACAGACCACGTAGAATCAGGCCACCGCAGTCTTGCCTGTCAGCCTCCGCCTCTTTGCTTGCCCTGTTCCAGAAACACCGAGCGTGCGGTTCACGTAAGCATTTGCCCTCCAATCCAGCTTCTGGATGTACTTTTCCGCAGCTTGCTCACTCTCCACAGACAGACGTTCAAAGAGGCTCATACGATCCACCAAAGTCTTGTTGCGCTCATGCAAGAAGCCTTCGAAATATGGCCGCTCAGGCACTCCAATGAGCCATAGATCGCTCAACTTCGTTGCTCGTGACAACATGACATAGAGGGCCAAACCGTAGTCTCCATCCTTCATCCAGGGAGGTTGATTCAGAAAAGCGACCAGGCCAGATCTGGCAGTGATGCCTTGCAGTCCAAAATGAGTCAGCGCTCGCTGTGGGGCCAAGGGTACCTGCGCATAAAGGAAACTCAACGACAAAGACATACTTACACGACGACGATATTATATATACCAGAGACCCCAAAAGAAGTTAGTGCATCCCAAGCCTGTTTCCGAACAAGTCGAAGTTTCTGCTTGGGCGCAACCTCAAAGACCCAGGCCGATTGCTTGTTGAACACAGGCCTGACGCAGAAATGACCCTTGGGTACGTCGTCGCCAGGGACCTGAAACTGATATGGGAATTTACAGGGATATCAGAAGCAGACACCTTTTGGATACCACAAGCAGCTACCTACTTCCACTTCAACGGATTGCGTGCAAAGTTAAACACCGCTCTACGCCCATCCCCTGACTCCATCCCTCCTGCGATGAGAAGCTGTCCACTATGGATTCCAGCAGCTGCTCCTTTCGAAGGGCTGTGCCGTCGCGCTTCTGCGGCAGTCCCAACAAAGCGCACAGCTGCCGCAAGTCGGCGCGGCTCTTGGCATCCGCAACCATGCCGCACCTCCCTCTCCATGTCCATCTCGCAGGCGCTGCACCTCTGGCTCCTGCTGCCCTGCTTCCTGTATGGGAATTTACAGGGATATCAGAAGCAGACACCTTTTGGACCACAAGAAAACAGATTCTCAACTAAGTTGAACTATACACTACACCATCCCCTAACACAGATTGGGTATCTTAACAAAGATTGAAAGTCTTATATCTAGATGTCTTTTTCTTGGTCGAATACATCTACACATCACAAAACCGTCCTCCACGTTCGGCTGCGCTGCTTCCTGACCCGCTCCCTCCGCGTTTCGCAGAACGGCGTCCTGCAGAGTGGTCATGGTCCGCGCGCCTCTTGACGAGAAGCTTATGAGGTGTGTTGAAACTTCTTGCAAGTACATTCTTCACTGCTCTTGCCTTGCTGCATGTTCCCGGCTACGGTCTGTGGAGACTTGTGCGATCTCACTTGGAAATTGCTGCGGTCTCTCTGCTTGAGCCACCGCGTACATCGCGGCACAGCCTCGATACTCCAAGCTCCAAAAAAGAACGAACACGGAACGAAACGTGCCCAAACCAAGCTAAACGAACTAAACGAAACGTAGGTTTCCTGCTAGTAGCTTCAGGGTAGGAGCACCTAGTAGCGTCCTGGCTCCTAGTAGCGATGCCCTTTGTTACTACTAGCTTCTTGTTACTAGTGGTGTGTTGAAACTTCTTGCCAGTACATTCTTCATTGCTCTTGCCTTGCTGTATGTTCCCGGCTACGGTCTGTGGAGACTTGCGCGATCTCATTTTGAAAATGCTGCGGTCTCTCTGCTTGAGCCGCCGTGTACATCCCGCCACAGCCTCGATACTCCAAGCTCAAAACAACGAACACGAAACGAAACGTGCCTAAGCCAAACCAAACGAAACGTAGGTAAGGCCAGGAGCCCCTAGTAGCGTCCTTGCTCCTAGTAGTTTCATCACGTAGGAAGTCTGAGTGCGAGTTATCTGTTACTCCCGCCACAGCCTCGATACTCCAAGCTCAAAACAACGAACGCGAAACGAAACGTGCCTAAACCGAAACGTAGGTTTCCTGCTAGTAGCTTAAGGGCAGGAGCACCTAGTAGCGTCCTGCCAGGATCTAGGTAATCGACATAGGTGTGTAGTTGTGTTATTCATGGAAACCCTCCACCAATGGGTCGTGGTCTATTGTCCTTCCAGGGGGTAAAATGGGGTCTCCTGGATCCAGGATTCATCAACCGATTCTGACCCAAGTCTTTGGGTAACGGATTCGCCCCGACCGCGCCGAACGCAGACTCCATGACACGTATTCGCACCGAGTGGAGTTGATTCGGCGATCTCGATGTCCTACGTGATGAAAAATGCTTTCGGGCCCTTTCCGTCTTGTTACTAGTAGTAAGGCCAGGAGCCCCTAGTAGCGTCCTTGCTCCTAGTAGTTTCATCACGTAGGAAGTCTGAGTGCGAGTTATCTGTTAAGTGTGCAGTGTGAAGTGTTAAGTCGAGTGAGTTGAGGTAGTGTGTGGGTCTCTGTGTGTGTATCTATGTCCGTGTGTATGTGAGTCTCTGTCTATGTGTGTGTCCGAGTAAGTTGAGGCAGTGCGTGGGTCTCTGTGTGTGATGTGTGTGTGTGTGAGTCCCTGTCTGTGTGTGTATGTCCATGTCTGCTGCTGGTGAAGGTCTTCTCTGTACATATACTGAACGACTTAGCGCGCAGGCCTCCCAAACCCCCCACCGGCGGCCAAGCGGTGACAGCCCAGCTCATCGTCGTGAGCATTTGGGCTGCTGGTAAGGAGAGAAGCAGCGTGCGCGCCTCCAGGAAATCTCACTGAAAAAAGCAAGCTGGAATGAAGCGTACTCAAGTTGTACTACAAAGTCGCCAGTTCTCATCTTCCAGCTCCACAGATTGCTCCGCGTACTAAAATTGCACTACCAGGTCGCCAGTTCTCATCTTCCAACTCCCCAGATACTCCGCGTACTCAACTTGTACTACCCAGTCGCCAGTTCTCATCTTCCAGCTCCCCGATACTCCGCGTACTAAAGTTGTACTACCAAGTCATTGTACTACCAAGTCACCAGTTCTCATCTGGCCACTCCCCAGATACTCCGCGTACTAAAGTTGTACTACCAAGTCATTCTACTACCAAGCCACCAGTTCTCATCTGGCCACTCCCCAGTTACTCCGCGTACCAAAGTTGTACTACCAAGTCGCCAGTTCTCATCTTCCAGCTCCCCAGCTACTCCGCGTACTACAGTTGTACTACCAAGTCGCCAGTGCTCATCTTCCAGCTCCACAGATACTCCGCGTATTCAAGTTGTACTACCCACTCACCAGTTCTCATCTTCCCACTCCCCAGCTACTCTGCGTACTAAAGTTGTACTACCAAGTCGCCAGTTCTCATCTTCCAGCTCCCCAGCTACTCCGCGTACTAAAGTTGTACTACAAAGTCGCCAGTTCTCAGCTTCCAGCTCCACAGATTGCTCCGCGTACTCAAGTTGTACTAGAAACTCGCCAGTTCTCAGCTTCCAGCTCCACAGCTACTCCGCGTACTAAAGTTGTACTACACAGTCGCCAGTTCTCAGCTTCCAGCTCCACAGATTGCTCCGCGTACTAAAGTTGTACTACAAAGTCACCAGTTCTCAGCTTCCAGCTCCCCAGCTACTCCGCGTACTACAGTTGTACTACCAAGTCGCCAGTGCTCATCTTCCAGCTCCACAGATACTCCGCGTATTCAAGTTGTACTACCCACTCACCAGTTCTCATCTTCCCACTCCCCAGCTACTCTGCGTACTAAAGTTGTACTACCAAGTCGCCAGTTCTCATCTTCCAGCTCCCCAGCTACTCCGCGTACTACAGTTGTACTACAAAGTCGCCAGTGCTCATCTTCCAGCTCCCCAGATACTCCGCGTACTCAAGTTGTACTACCCGCTCGCCAGTTCTCATCTTCCCACTCCCCAGCTACTCCGCGTACTACAGTCGTACTACCACGTCGCCAGTTCTCAGCTTCCAGCTCCCCAGCTACTCCTCGTACTAAAGTTGTACTACAAAGTCGCCAGTTCTCAGCTTCCAGCTCCACAGCTTGCTCCGCTCGAATCGCACTCTCGCCTGCGTTTCGCGCACTGGACACGCACGATCTCCGCAGAGGGTCGCGCGGTAATTTCGCAAATCGCACTCTTGCCTGCATTTCGCGCACTCGACACGCACGATCTCCGCAGAGGGTTGCGCGGTAATTTCACGAATCGCGCTCCCGCCTGCATTTCGCGCGCTCGACGCGCGCGATCTCCGCAGAGGGTTGCGCGGGCACCCGGCGGATCGCACTCTCGCCTGCATTTCGCGCACTCGACACGCACGATCTCCG